AGAGGACTACAAACATGGCAGCACACTCAGGTACAGACTGCAGAGAGAACTACAAACATGGCAGAACACACTGCAGACAACTACCGGTAGTTAATCGGTTAACATTAGACACCATGTAAAATATTTTAAATATAAAGGTATCTATCTAGCTATCTATTTTTTGTATCAATACTTGTATAATACTTAAAACACATTTAGTGAGTACATCTGTTCATATAGCAGAACTAGACAAAGATGCTGACAAAAATAACAACGTGTTCAGTTTAATACTGCAATTATGTTTAATTTAATAGAAAAATGCAATACTGTAGAAAAAAATATGTCGGTCTTTATAACCTGTTGTCATCTTTATTTGTTTAAATCAGGTCTCTCTTGTAAATGAGTCCTCGAGGCTCAATGGGATTTAAAGGTTGATTGATATTGCTGGGCGGCCGTGGTGCAGTGGTAGTGGCAGCCGACCTCTGATCGGAAGGTTGGAGGTTCGAATCCCGACTTCCCACACCATGTGCCGTTGTGTCCCTGGGCAAGACACTTAACCCCGAGTTGCTCCCGGTGGGACTGGATGGCGCCTTGCATGGCAGCCTACCGCCACCGGTGTATGAATGTGCGTGTGAATGGGTGGATGGCTGGTACTGTAAAAGCGCCTTGGGGCCCCTCATAGGGGGCTGGAAGGCGCTATAGAAGTAAGCTCCATTTACCATTTAAGATTAATTTAAGGTTATAAGGTTAGCGCAGAAAATACATTATTTTGTCATATTTTGTAAACGCCAAAAGTCCAAACGGCATTTAGTAATATAAAATTATATATTTTATAATATATTACTGTTTTCTGGAGTCTCAGCCAAAGTTACAGCATGTTAGCAGCAGCACTCCTCAAGAACAAAATAAGATGACTGACAGCTTATTTAGCCAATCACCGTTGAGAAAGGCGGGACTTCCGGTGACATTGACAAATCAGTAATGGCGAATGGAGAAAAACTAAAGATGACAGCAAAACAACACTAATGGGGGTGTGAACTTGTGGACAGCCGTCATTTTTGAAGAGCCATTGCAAAATAAACGTCTAGTTGTGCGGAATTTGGGATCAGCCGGAAGGTAAATTTTTTTTTGTAGTTTTGTAATTGATGTGTTGTTGTCTGGTGGCTGCTCCGCGTCGTGTTAACGGTCCAAACTTTCTGACACGAACACAGCTAGCTGGGCAGAGCCCGAGCGAGCTAGCAAGCTATGCTAAGCGCTAGCTGTTAGCCAAGTTGTTCCGATCGAGCCAAACAGCCTCCCTTTCAATCAAACATCCCAACAATATGCTTTATCAAACCCAGTGTTTGTAACCACCCCATATTACTTAAATTAAGTCTCCTAAAGCACTGGCACGATCGTAGGAGCTCGACTTTCATTTTAAGTTTGGTTTTGTTGCACATCCGCGAGGGCCACCAGGTTTAGGAGCCGTGATCCAAACAGTCGGGTTGTTTCTTGTAGTTAACCAGGTAACGGTCACCGAACTGAGCCGGGACTTTCAGATAAATAACACACCAGACCTGAGTCATTTTTAACAGGTAGGTAACCTGATTACCGACACCTTGATTGAAAAACGAGCACGTTGTATGGGCAGACTTATCGCTGTAAAGAGATGTTTTTATATTCAGTTTGTTTATATAGTGTCAATTCACAACATAAGTCATCTCAGGTCACTGCACAGAAGCATTCACATACATAAAAATCTGTTAATAACAGTATTTATCTAAGAAGCCAGCAGATTGCTTCGAGTTTTCACTTGTGGCAGTCTCCCATCCTAAGCGAGCACAGATGCAACAGTGGAAAGGAAAAACTCACCTTTAACAGGAAGAAACCTCCAGCAGAACCAGGCTCAGGACGAGAGGCCGTCTGCTTGGACTGGATGGGCTTGACAGGATATGGTGCCGTGCGCTGCCTGTTTATAAATGAACCCTTTTGGCTATCGGGTCCAAGAGCAGCACTGGTCAATCTAGAACAACAGCCACAAAGTTAAAACAGCAAATTTGAGAAACATAATCAATAACGCGTACAAAATTTTGCATATCGTGTGTTTTACTGTACTGTAGGTAAAATGCACAGTGACATGTCACTAAAGGCTGATGTGATTTATACACAATCATATTTTATTGGTGAACGAACTTTGATGGAAACAAACTTGCCTTTAAACATTTATATGATCCAGTTCTTTGAGCCTTCTCACTCTTCAGATCTTATGTTATTGATAAACCACATACTGTGGACTTTATTGAGCAGATTTTTATCTATGTAGTCTGGCTGATTGATTGATTGGTTTTATAAATATGAGGATAACCCAGAGGAGGTTTAATGCACCATACACTCAATTTTAAATATTTTTTATGGTTTATAATAGTAAAGTGATTTGGAACTGAAGACATAAAATAACGTGATCTGCAGTGGATGCTTTTCGTTTTTAAAATTTCGTTCATTTAATGCCACAAAATATATAAATACTCTGAAAATAATTTAAATTACTGAGTAAATGTACTTCTAATACTCCATAGTAGGTTAATAACCACATATTAATCTGGTTTTATGAACAATGAGCATTATTTGGCTTATCAAAACATTATAAGACTGAAAGATATGATTTTTTCAAATTATTGGTTGTAAATAAACACTGTCTCTCTCCTCCCCACTGTTAAGCTGATTGGAGTCCTCCCATTTCTTCGGTAGATGTCCACGCCATCAGACACATCAGGTGGTATGTCCCATCCTGGTCCTTCACCTTCGGCTGGTCTGTCCCCAGGGCCCATCCTGGGCCCCAGTCCTGGACCGGACCCTTCACCGAGTTCTGTTCACAGTATGATGGGGCCCAGTCCTGGACCTGGAACACCTAATGCCCCTCATGGCATGCAGGGCCAAGGACAAAGTGACTACTCCCAGGACGGCATGTATCCTATGCACAAGGTACGGAGCGAGTGCACAGTTCTCCAGCTGTTGAACACATGTGGAAGGTTTCCTTGTTTGGATGTGGGTGATTCTCCACTCATGGCGCGACAGAACATGACTGGAAGTTTACAATCTACACAGATTTAGTGTTTGAAGTCAGTAAGTGTTGGTTTGGTAACTGTTCTGTTACCAGATGAGCCGTCTAACATACTTGTTGTCTTTCTTTCAGCCCGTGGAGGGGACACTGAATGATAAGACGATGGCAGAGGCTATGCATTTTGGTCACATGAAAGGTGTCGGGATGAGATCCCTCCACAGTGGCATGGGCCCTCCTCAGAGTCCTATGGACCAGCACAGCCAAGGTCTCTTATCTAATACTTTACATTTTTTGTATCATTTGTTTTGTTTTTCAAAATTTGATTTGTTGTAAGAGTTCTCGTCCTCTCGGTAGGAAGCTGCTGTTTAAAGAACTTTAACTTTGAAACTTTCATCTTTAGGATACATGTCTCCACACCCATCCCCCATGGGACTCCATGAGCATGCTTCTAGTCCCATGTCAGGAGGTGGAGGTGGACCTACACCCCCCCACATCCCTCCCTCCCAGTCAGGCCCGATGATGTCTATGGATCCTCAGGGGGGCATGTCCAGTATGGGACAGCAGGGTCGGGGGCCCTCTGCCTTCAACCCGGTCCAGCTGCAGCAGCTAAGAGCTCAGATTCTCGCCTACAAGATTCTGGCCCGGGAGCAACCGCTGCCAGAAAACCTCCAACTCGCCGTTCAGGGCAAAAGGAGTCTACCCACAATGCAACAGCAGCAGCAACAACAGCAGCAGCAACAGCTGCCATCGAGTGCCAGCCCATACAGACCTCCAGGTGAGGAAAACCTGCTTTTACATTTGTGCAATATTAAAAACTCAATTTTACTCTGATAAATGCACATTAATCTCAAATATTCACCCTGGGATTAATAAAGTCATCAATCAATCCATCAGTCCAATCCAGTTTTACATCGGCACAATACTAAAACATCAAGACGTGTTTTATTTTTAATTGTTTGAATGTATTAAAAGCAAATATCTGTGAACTAATATTGAACTGTTCTTTTGGTGTAAAGGTATGCCAATGACATCCATGGGTGGTCCTCAGTCCAGCCCCTCTCCAGCACCAGCCATGCAAGTACACAATCAGAGCACGGGACCCAAACCGTGGCCCGATGGTACGTCCTGTCAGCCGTTTGTCGTTTCACTGAGAAAACTGAAAAAGATTCACTGTGGGTCTTCAGGTGAACTGCAGTGCAGATTGTATGATATAAGACTCTTCACTGCAATATGACTCCGTCAGTTTATTAGTTTCACAAAGTTCTGTCTGATTTTCATAAATTCTTCAGCTGGGTGTCTGCTAGTTTTTCACTTTTATTTCTAGTTCATGAAACCATCAGCTGGAAACGTCAACAAGCTAAAAATAGCTAAAGTCAAAGTGTGCACATAGAAATAAAGGACATTTAGCACGTAGGCTGCATTTTGATGACTTTGGAGTTGGACTTTTGTCTCTTTGTGTGATCTAAAGACTGTTGTTGATATTTGATATATCTGACCTCTGGCTCCGAGTCTTCTTCAGGCCTCTCACACGTCCAGGGTCAGTTTCTGGTGAATTATTTTTGTAAACGTAAATAAACGAGTTCTTCCTTCAGTCACACACACCACTTCCTGAAAATCCTCCCAGTAGTTTTTACGAAGTTTGTGCGGAAAGATGGATCAGGTGATTATCTCCTGCAGTTGAGAGAGGTTGGAAATTTTTTGTGTGTGTCCCTTTCAGCTTGTTAGCAAAATATCTGATGAACCAATGGACAGGGTTTAATGAAACTCTTAAAAATGACCACTAAAAGAACAAGAACAACTGGTTAGGTTTTTAGTCAAGCTGGTCGACATTAGCAAATTTTGACGGCCAGTTTTACAGATGTTGAGCTAAGGCTTGGTGTGGTAGTAGCTGACGGTCATTCCCAGCACGTCCTCTGAGTGCTGACAGATCACATGTGATTTTTGTTGAAAACAAAGGTCTTCAGGTTGGTGGGCGATATGCATTTCTACAAGGACTCTTTTAATCTACAAATGTTTCTGTGCAGGTCAGAGTGCTGACAATCAAGCGACTGCTCAGAAACACCTCACCCCCATTCCCAGCGGCCGCCCCTCCCCTGCACCTCCTCAGACCACCGCGGGGCCTCCTGGGCCCATGCCAGGAGGTTCTGTGGCCCCCCATCCCCAGGGCCAGCAGGTGTCCCCCATGCTCCAGATGCAGCAGAAGCAAAACCGGATCACGCCGATCCAGAAGCCTCAGGGTCTGGACCCAGTGGGAATCTTACAGGAGAGAGAGCACAGGTACCCGTGCCACCTGCTGAGTTCTGCTTTATTTATTAATGACACTCAGACTGATGAGCTCAGAAAACTCTGAAAGGGTTAACGAGGCCAGTCAGAGCGCTGAAACGCAGCGTGCGACCTAACGACGTGCTGCTGCCAATTAAAATCACCACTGCTTCCTGAACTCTCAACATCAGTGAACTCTTTATTTATTTCACATTCTCTGATTTATCATTTGTCAGATTTTATAATGGTCTTCACAATCTTAACAAATTTATAAACCAGTACCATAATTTCCAGACTATTGCGTCCACCTGACTATAAGCCGTGCCCACTAAATTTAAAACGAAAAAGTTGTACATATAGGCCACACTTGTCTATAAGCCACGGGTGTCCACGGGTAACATGAAGCATTTACACAGAAAGATTTTTAAAACTTTTAATTAAATTTGTACCGTAACATACACACATATGTTCAGTAAATGTTTTTTCTGAACAGTGCCGGTAACACGGCTGGTTAACAAAAAATACAGAAGCCTTCCAGGAAGTCATCGATCGCTATCTTCATCTTCCTCCTGCGCCCTTGAGCTCGTGCTGTCCTCTTCCTCACACAGCAGCCTTTCGAAACCCGTCGGTGATGGAGGATTTCTTTTACGCTCCTCCGCTGTCAGGATCCTCTGTGGTGATCCTCTCCTGGTCAGACTGGAGCAAAGGTTGCTCTGAACATGCGACCAGTTGTGGTGAACAGTTTCTCGCTGGTAGTCATCCAAACCTCCCACCGAGCTCGGAGTGCCGCATTAATGCACAATTCTTACTTATTTTGAATGGTTGCAAATACTTTGTTGTGCCCCAGGGAGGGGAAAACAAATTTTCTCCCCCTCCCCAGTGGACCAGTGAAACCTGTTTGGTAATTTCATTGGTCAGATTATTATTACTTTTTTTACCTTTTTATTTAAACGGGTAGTCTCATTGAGTCATGAGGACCCACTCTTTGCAAGAGAGACGTGTAGTGGGTAGCTTTGTGAGCGCCCAGGTGGGGCGAGGCTAAATGTTTTGGTGGCATGAAGCTCGTTAGCCTGCCGAAAAAATATCCATAAATTAGCTGTAGCATTGTTTAAGTTCAAAGTGTGTGGAAAAAGTAGCGGCTTATAGTCGGGGAAATGACGGTAATGGTAAAAAATAAGAGCCTTTCAAGTTTGTACATAACAGTGAGTGAAGTAAATAAAGATGGTGGGTCATAATCAGTTTCTGCTTCAGACTGCAGGCTCGGATCGCACATCGGATCCAGGAGCTGGAGAGTCTGCCGGGCTCCTTGCCTCCTGACTTGAGGACCAAAGCTACAGTGGAGCTGAAGGCTCTGCGGCTGCTCAACTTCCAGCGGCAGGTACACAACAGCTGCACAACATTTCATTCATCTTCACAGAAATCAGCCTTCAACGAGTCAGAGTTACAGAAGTGTTAGTCGAGTCACGGCACGCTGCTCACTGCACCACTGAACCAACCAGCTGGAAGAAAGACTTCCTGTGCTGTTTACAACTAATCAGTCCCTCCAGGGAGTTCTGAACATTAATTCTGATTAACCAACTCCCTGCCTGCCTTCACTTTCTGGAATTTAATCCTGTGAGATGAAAACATTTATTGGCAGAAGAGGACGTTTCCCAATAAATATTACTGATAATCATGAAGAGTGATGGAAAACTAAACGTTTCTCTGTTGATGTGGGCTTTTATTTTTATATGAATGCTCTTGTTATAAACGTTGAACAGATCTGTTGTTGTTGTGAAACAATTATCCAGAAATCTTTGCCTTTTCTAGAAGCTTCATGAAACTCTTGCAGCTTTTTTCTAAATTCATCTCGTCTCAAAATGGTAAAGAAAAACAAAACATCGCAACTTGATTGCAATTTTATGAAAACACTGCTGCAAAATCACATTTTTAATCACCAGTCACACAAAAAAACTCCAAACTCTGGAGAGACTGTGGTGATGCTGCTCTATAATCCAGGTAGACGAGTCTAACAAGGTTAAGTCCGGTCCTCTGGACAGATTCTTCTGGAGGGGCTGGTTCCATTAAAGGTTCTGTTCAGAATCTCATCGGCAGAGTTTTGAGAATAAAAAAGGAAAGTTTTGTTTTGACATTTTAACATATTATAAAACTTTACTTGTACCTGAGGAGCTGCAAGATTATTTCCTCCTTGATAAAAGTTATCTGCAGGTGCATCTTAAAAAATTTAAATATCTTGAAAAAGTTCATTACAGTAGTCCCTCGCTTCTTCGCGGTTCGTTTATCACAAACTCGCTCTATCGCGGTTTTTCAAAATAAGACTGGAGACCACACATAATGGCTGATTGATGGATGAGCCGTACAATCGGCATGGAATTTTTACTTGAATTGAATTATTTTAAAGTATTTAGCAGCTTTGTGCAGCCCACACTGCAGGATAAACTTCCTGCTGCAGCTGATCAGCTGTTCTGCGTGCTGAACGTGCAAAGTGGGCGTGGCCGAGAGCGCTGAGTGCAGGTGTCTGAGTGCAGCTGAGACAGGGAGCTGAAGTCATGACATTATCAGAATCAGAATAAACTTTATTGGCATTGCACCGAGATACAACGCGGATATGTACGTACAGTCGTCCGATTATTATTATTTTTTCATTCATTCAACCTTTATTTAGACAGGTTAATCCCAGTGAGCCTCGGGCTCATTTACAAGAGAGACCTGATTTTAACAAAGAATGATGATAATGGTTGATAACAACAACAACAACAATAGACAATCATAAAAGAGGCATACACATTTTTTTTCTACAAATTAAAATAAAATGGCAACCAAAAGGACAGTCAAAAGGAAAAAGTAGCGAAAAAACAAAACAACAACAACTAGATTATAAGGCGGTGTAGAAAACTGAAAACAGGAAGGCCCTTTGCCAAGTTCAGTCCTCACTGAGGGGACACTGCAGGTAATAATGTCCTGAGATACTAAAATAAACTACTACTTACTATTTGTACTACTATTCCTACTTTTAAAATAAAACAGAAAAGGATGAGGGATAAATCAAACTTGTAGGTAGGAGAACTGTAAGTGTAACTCCATCGTGTGTCCAGCTGCGGCAGGATGTGGTGGCATGCGTGAGACGAGACACGACCCTGGAGACGGCGCTGAACTCGAAGGCCTACCGGCGCAGCAAGAGACAAACTCTGAGGGAGGCTCGCATGACGGAAAAGCTGGAGAAGCAGCAGAAACTGGAGCAGGAGAAGAAACGCAGACAGAAACATCAGGTAAGTTCACCTTCGTGTGGTTTTTAGGCCTTTGCTCAGTTTGAACTCAAGACTTTTAACTCTTTTTATTTTCTACAAATAAAACAATAAGGGGAAAAAGTCTCAAGCAGTAAATGTTGTGCTTTGTTTTTTAGGAATATCTGAACAGCATTCTTCAGCATGCTAAAGACTTCAAAGAGTACCACCGCTCGGTGTCCGGAAAAATCCAGAAACTCACCAGAGCTATCGCCACCTGGCACACCAACACGGAGCGGGAGCAGAAGAAGGAGACGGAGAGGATTGAGAAGGAGAGGATGAGGAGGCTCATGGTAAGAACATCCATCCATCACAGAACAGCCTGCATTGAACGTCCGCCATTTTGAGAACTGATAAACAGGAATGAGAGACAACCCATGACACGTCAAGGGGCCTCCCTCCCATTTATCTTAGAGACACACTGCTCACTCCCTCACTATCCATCCTTCAGTTAAAACTGTATTACACTGCCATCTCATGGTCAAAAAAAGATACTACACTCAAAACAAATTAACCAAGATTTTTTCTTAAATTTGACAATAATGACTAATTATTGTCAAATTTCAAACATTATTATCGTTTATCGCAATAATTTCTGAGACAATTAATCGCCCAGCAAAATGTGTTATCGTGACAGACCTAAGTATAAGCCCCGCCCTGAGTTTGTGTGGATAAATGTCAGATCAGAACACTGGAGTCTGATCATCACGTATCATCAGGAGACTGAAGTTTACTCCATTTTTCTTTTGTTAAATCAGGCAGAAAGTCCTTTTCAAGTCAAACTACAAGTGATTTCCTGGATTCAGGTCTGGGCTTTGACTCGGCCACTCCAGAACATACGCTCTGTTCTGCTGAGACCATTTCTGTGTAGTTCTTGTTGGATGCTTTGGGTCAATGAAAAAATAAATATCTTAAGCTGTAGTTCTTTTGCACACAGCATCAGATTGACCCCAGGATTTCCCACTTTTTGGTTTTTATTTAAAACTATTTTTAAATGCCTTCCAGGGTCGGCTGCCAAGGCCAGCGCCAAATCACAACAGAAGTTTTCTCAGAGCCCTGAACAGAAACATTCACATACATAAAAAATCCCATTAGTAAAAGTTCTCCATCTAAGGAAGGAAGCCAGTAGACTCGTTGACTCTTGACTTTGTCGCAGTCTCCCACCTTCTTCACCATGAAGTCTTCCACAAACTCCAGTAGAGATTTATTCTGAGTCTTCTGTCTCCTTGTCACTTTTCCATACAACTTAGACCGGTCAAGAACTCAGGCAACAGTGGTTGTATGATCACAGTCTCCTCTAATTCACCTGCTGAAGCGTGCAACTCCTTCTCAAGTGTCTTGGTGGCCCGTCTCATTATTCTCCTTCTTCATGGTCACTCAGTTTGTGAGGACGGCCTGCTCTTGGTAGATTTACACATGTCCCATATTCCTTCCATGCCTTGATGATGGGTTTAACAGAACTCCTGAGATGTTTAGGAATGTATTTTGTCTCCGTCACCCGACTCCTTCATGTGACCTCCTGTCACTGTCCCAGGCAGAAGATGAGGAAGGCTACAGGAAACTGATCGACCAAAAGAAAGACAAGCGCTTGGCCTACTTACTGCAGCAGACGGACGAGTACGTGGGCAACCTCACCACTCTGGTGTACGAACACAAAGCTGCTCAGGCTGCCAAGGACAAGAAGAAGAAGAGGAAGAGGAAGAAGGTATGAAGGTTTCATTCACAGCTTGTCACTTCCTGCAGATGTTAACTTTTAATTCCTGATTCATTCCAGTGTGTGATAAAGTCCAATAAAGATGTTTAACTTCAGAAGCGCTGAGTAAACTCACGATGGATCCGTTGACACTCGGAGCTCTTCGTACCTCCGTGTTTCTAAGAAAATAGATTTATCTGATTATTTCAGTGGCTCCCAAGGAGCAGCTGCCCTTTTAGATCAGAACACGTGGCTTAAAGTCCACCGAGTTAATATTCCTGCTGTAAATGTTGCTTCTGTGTGTAGAAGGTGGATGGAGACGGTGAAGGTACCAGCGCCATCGGACCTGATGGAGAGGTAACGCCCACTTTTTAGCTCTGCGTCGTTAAACATTATTATTTCTGCAAATATATATATTTTTTTATTGTCTGGAATGAGAAAGTAAACCAAAATGTTTTTTAATGTTGAAGATGATCGAGGTAGAAGAGATTAGAGGTTCCCCTCATTTTTTCTTTTTTCACCGTTTGTGTCCAAAAAATACACAAAAATCTGTTTTGGAGATTTATTTATTTATCAGTCTAAAATTTAAAAAACGGCTAAAGGAGTTACGTTTTCTGTCAAAGCTCAGAGTGAACGCTGACAGCTGCATGACTCCTGGAATCTGCTGAAGAAGCTGAAACTTAGCTGTTGGCTCAAAAACAAGCTGAAAAAGCAGAACACCAAGTAAAGGCTAAACGAAGAGGAACACTAGCTAAAGGCTAAAAGAGGAAAAACACAAGCTAAAGTTCAAGTTAAGTTTAATGTCTTTCACGTCGCATGTGGAACATGAGGTGGAAGGAAATAATGTTATGAAATTAAAGGCTAAAAGAAGAGGAACACTAGCTGAAAGCTAAAACTAGCAAAAGGTTAGCTAAAAACTAAAAGCATCAAAAAAAGTCAAACAGAGCTGAAGCCTTTTTTTTATGAGAGCAGAGCTTTGAGGGAACTGAAGTTTATTTCTGTGGACACGTTTTTTTTGTAACTCAAGTTAAATTTTTGGAAAAGTGTAAAAGTTACAAAAGCCAAAAGTCACAGCAGCCTTCTCCTGAATGAGCCGAACATTTTGATTTCCGAACAGCTAAAATAACGCAAAGTCTCCGTAGGTAGTAAGATTGTAAACAACATACATGAATGTAAAATCAGGCCAGCTGAATGCTGACTCAGCGTTTCACTGAAACCAGCAAATGGTTTCACTTTTCTGACCGTTGTTCCGACTGTTTCGTCTGTCGGATGGAGAAGGTTCTTTCTGGAGTCTGGACGACGGTTAGCTGTTCAGTAAACGTTGAAAGCATCTTGTTGTGTCTTGTCTTGCAGCCCATGGATGAAAGTAGCCAAATGAGCGAGCTGCCCGTCAAAGTGATTCAGACGGAGACGGGAAAAGTCCTCCAGGGGACAGATGCTCCCAAGTCCAGCCAGCTGGAGGCCTGGCTGGAGATGAATCCAGGGTGAGGAGGCTTCTGACGTTATTTGGACATGACTCATGAGTCTCCAGTAACTCTTCTGGTCGAACTAACTCATTTCTAACAACCAGGTCGATTAGATCTGTCAGGAGCAAAATGTATTTCCTTCCACTGTAAGATTCTCTGAAATGTCTTAAAGCGGGACAGCTATTGTTTCCTAAACTGGATTATTTTGGTGCAGGAGGGCAACGTGAAAAGGGTCCTCTTCGGCTGTTTGTCTCATTTCTTAGGTCAGGAGCCGGCGAGTTTATTCAGGACAGCGAGGGCTGGGAATCTTTAGGCTCCTCATGATGACTCAGAGATTGTAAAACTATTATTGATGCACCAATAATACTTTAAATCCACAGCAGAAGATCTCAGACCTGAAACAGACCAAACATTTTGCTCCAGAGTGAAACCGTTTTTAATGAAACAAGATTTTAGGAACTAAACAAAGTGAATGTAAATGCTGAGTTCAGGGCTCAAAGATTCTGAGACAGTGGATGCATGACATGTCGGAGCCGTCGGACCCACGTTCTGCAGAGAGTTTCTGGTCCCGTTGTAGAGGTGGATGGCTGGAATCATCAGGTTCTGTGCTGCCTCCAAAGGCTGAAACTGCACACGAGTTGAGCTTTCAGCCACTGAATGTGGGCACAAATCCTTCAAAATAAAAGCTGCAGTAGACATT